GTAGCTTGGGAGGGAGACACGTGAGGCCCATGACACGTAATATTGGTACTAAAAGCCCCGACATGCGGGTCCTACGTGTCGTGCCATGTCAGCACGTGGAGGCTTTGTCTAGGCCTTGGCGTCAGCCGGACCACGCGGCTCTTTTCTGGTGCAGCTGTTGGTCTCTGATGGCGACCCTTGCCGGCTCTCCCAAGGAAAGAAGACGGCCAAAGCTTAAGGGGCAATTTGATGTTGCTTAGGAGGGAGAAGTTAACAACCACTAGGACCTTGATTAATCAGACCCTTAATTAGGGTTAAGTTATTAATTATAAATAAATCAAATTTGAATATATATATATTTTCAAACAAAATATTTTGCCAACAGAATAAAAACTATAAAGGTCGTAGCAGCAATCACGTGGAAGTGACTGGAAGGATTTTCTCTTCTTAACTTTATAAATAAAAGATTTGGTTAGAATTTGTGTTTTGTACTTGTTCTTGGTGTCGAGGTTCATGAGTAACAATTTTTAAATGAAGAGGGTAGGTGGGGTTTTTGCATTTGATTTTACAATCATGCATGGCAGTTGCATTACAAATGCCATTGTCTTCTCTATCATCTTTTGGGGGAATGATTATGTTCTTTTTATTCTTCCCTATACAAATTGATTCAAGATTAAATCATAGGATTGATTACAAAATTTCAATTTTAAATGAAACATTGACATTAAAGGAATCCTAAGAAAACACAAAGATCAATTGATGTTTAAGTATTGTATTATTGAATACCTAGAATGCTAGATATAGATTTAGAGGTAGGCTGCTCAATTATAGATTACTTAATAGCTTTGCATGCCAACCAACAATATATATTATGGAGACTTATATACAGCTTGTGAGGTATTGATTATTTTTATTTAAAAAATTTCATTATTTTGTTTAAAAATATTTCACAAGTATTATTTTTTAAAAAAAATTCAGAAGTATTAATTTTAAATCTTTATAGTAATATCATAACAAATTAGAACAAATTTTCAATATGAGATTTGAGAAGTGTGATAAGCTTAAAACCCATAATTTTTAAGGAGTTTTTTTTTAAAAAATACTCCTCATAAATATGGTACTTTTGAAAATAGCCCTTTTTATAATTGTAACTATTTTTAGTCAAGATAAATTAATTTTAGATAAAATTACCCTTAATGAAATTGACATATATATTTAGGTTTGAGTGTCAAACTGATTCATATCCTTTGAGCTTTCCTTATCAGGCTATTCATCTTTGAAATATTTTTTATTAGAAAGAAAAACCTTTAAGCATGTTAAATATTTTGGACTAGTTAATAAAGTATTGCGTGACTAGTTAGTAAAATATTATGTGACTAATTTTTAGGCATTGTGTAACTTAAGCATTGTTTAAAAATCAGTCACACAATGCTTAAAATTTAGTTACACAATACTTAAAAATCGGTCACGTAATACTTAAAAATTAATTTCACAATATCCAAAAACTACTGACACAATGCCTAAAAACTAGAAATGCAATACTTAATAACTAATTAATTTATCTTTTCGCAGTCAAGTTTAAGTTGCCAAAGCTATATAGTCTTTTAATTTATAAATATGTATAATTAATTTCAACCTCTCAATTTTGGAATTCTATGAATAAACCAATAAACCCAAGAACAAACCATATACCTTAATATCATCTCTATTTTTAGGATGGCAAGAAAATTTTTAGGATGGCAAGAAAGAACTAGATGAAGAGATATATAGTATTTGGCAAGAGAGAAAAATTGAGATTTAATTTTGAAATTTTTGTCTGGATTATTTTAATTTGTCTGAAATTATTTAAAGGACATTATTATCAAATCATATAAAAAATAGACTAAAAATAGTTAAAATTATAATGAATGATATTTTTGAAATGGGTTTATAAGAAGGATTATTTTTCACAATTTTTTCATTTTTAAGATCAAAACTTGATTTTTTTTTGAAGGGCAGAATAAAGTTCATTCACAAAAAAGTTACAAAAGACTACCACATTCATTTCACAAAAGATCAAAACTTGATTGCGATAATCCTTGTGAAAATTCTTATCCAACTTGCGAGATAATATCTGTTTTGATTTGAGAAGCATAATTTTATCTAAAAAAATATTTTTTTAAATGAAAATTTCACATTTCTATACGTAATAGATTTGCACGTCTTCTAGATTAGATATATTACAAATATGATTAATCAAATCTATATTATATTTAAATTAATGGGGCATTTTCTTTTTGATTTAGTCGTTTTATTACAAGGCTAATAAAATTGTGTCCATAACTTTGTGATCATTATCAACTTCTAATTTTACTCGAACTCATCATGTTTACGAAATTATATAAATTTGTCAAAGAAAGGAGTTAAGTTGTTACATTTTGCAGAACACATTCCGCCTATTACATCATCAGGGACCAAATCCCAAAGCTTTTTCTTACTAAATTAAATGCTCATTTAATTTAGTGGCTGCCAACTGCACGTTGTGCCATTTTGAAGGGAATAATAAAGCTAATTTATCAAAAAGTACTTTTGATTAACTTGGTAAAATTAAAGCAAACTCTCTTTAAAAGTTTCCATGTTCTAATATTTTTCAATACATATATGCATGAATCAGCTTCCACTTGGTTTTTTTTTTTTCCATCCAATTAAATTGAACTTTCATGTCCTGACTGTCTTCTTGCACGAATTATACCAAAAGAGATCAAGCCTTTTGTTTAGATATCGCTGGTGGCTTTAATTGCTTTTCAAAATTGGGAGAAACTAATAGCTTTGAAAACAAAGTTGTATTTTAGATGTTCAATTATATCTGGATTGGAGGTCAATTATGACCTCTACAAAGTTTTTCCTTGTTAGTTCATAAAAAGAAATCAATTAAGATCTAACATACCATCAAATTATTTTGTTCCTTAATTTTTGTTTCTTCACAAATCTAACGTTATAATGAAAAAATACCGTAATATATAGCAAGTGTTACAAAGGAAGAAGAGTTTTATTCTTTAATTTTTTTTTTATTTTTTGAGAATTTTCCAAGTGGTAAGCAAAGGTTTTCCAAACTGATCAATTAGTCACCAGCTCATGCCAACAGGATGGTGGTAAGCAAGTCCATTCCATATATCGTCAGCCATGACATTCGCAGCATTTATTTCCCATGATTTCTCTTTTTATTTTCACAACAAATTAATTAGTGAATATATAGTAACAATATAGCTACATAATCACTGGGGAAAAAAAGAAGAAAACCTACTAATTTCTAATAGGTTGTATTGCCCTTTGGTGTACAGGTTGTCGACAGCAGTAGCAACCCTACCCTACAATTAGAAAGAGAAGAAAAAACTGTTTCTTCACATGCTATGAAAAATAAAGAATCGAGATAAAATTTAGCTTAATATGCATTACAGTGATTTCATCAATGTAATCTATAAAATTACAATCGGGTAATGACAATATGCCCCCCTAATGCAATCTATAGTTTAATTATTTTACCATTCAGTATGAATTTATTGGTGGGGAAAAGGAAAATTCTAACTGTGAAAGGCATTTCCACTTTTTCTCATTCATATCATGGAAACGTACTGAGCTGATTAGAGAAGTAAGCCATAAAAGTCTAACGGAGATTACTTAAAACTAAAAAATAAATAAATAAAGTCCCGCTAAGTTTTCTTAAACAGGCTATTCTCTTGATGTTTAATCCCATCATGACAAGGGAATTTTGATTTACACATATAGGAACATATATTTCATGGATATTGACTAGCCAACTACTACCCAAAGCAAAGATGTTGACCTCTAAAAAGTGCCACCTTCTCAAGCTCAAACCTTTTTATGATTTATATGATTGTGACCCATCCTTTATCCCCACGGCAATTGTAAGTCTGAGCTTTGAGGGAAATCGGAGTTTTAATTTACAAAATGGAAGTTTCGAGTGAACAAAAAATCAAAGTTTTGGCTTTACAAGAATTGTATGAAATTTTCCATCAAAATTTTCCACTTTGGCCAAACTCTTGTTTCGAAATCTTACTACATAAAACTAACTTATACCCCTACTCTTTGGTTTTTCACGCAATTGACTTTTACTTGTTTGATTGCCTCCAAGGAAACATGGTCAAGCCGGATGGCTTAAGTAACTAGATTATCTCATTGCACGGGAAGTAGGCAGCAGGATTTGAAAAATTCTTATTATGCTCTACTAGGTATTCCTTTTTCTCCCTCCTGTAATTTTCTTTGTTTGACAATTATGCTCTTTATGCGAAGCTGAACCCAGCTCTGACAAAGGAGAAAGCAGCCAGAGCAGAAAACTTAGCTTGGTCGGGTATATCTGCTACGACCGAATCAACACAGGTTGCATATAACAACTTAAAACAAGGCAGAGCTGTTGCCCTGTTTCCAGTTCTTGCATTATCTCAGAATCCGGCCTCCACCCCTCCTGTAAAGGACGTCCTAAATGGAGCTTTAGGGCCTAATTTGAAGTTCAATTAATGATCAATAGATAATCTTTCATACAGCTAGTTCAAATCCCGGAGGAAAGTGCCAGAAGTTTGAGTTTAATCACTATTGGATTAAAGGACAACAAAACAAGGAGTCATCTGCTAATGACAGCAAAATGTCCACGTGCCAAATGATCAATTGCAATCATAGGTGCCCCTATTATCCAAAAAACTTAACAAAAAAAACCAAAATAACAAGTAAAAAAAAAAAGAAACTGTTGAACATCAATTCTTGTATCATCCAAAATCAATTATGGAGTGGACCCAATTTAGGCATATAAAGTTGAAACAGGCACCTCCCCCTTGGCCCCTCCATGTTTCTTCCTTGCCTCTTCTCAAACTCGCACATTTAAGTTTTGTTCTGTGGACTACTACTACTTCGTACGTTTTGGTTGTGATGAAGTTGCAAAGTTGAAGATGTGATGAAGTTGCAAAGTTGAAGATGATCTTCTTCACAACCAATTCAATCAATTAATACGCACGCGTGCGGTGTAAATTGATTTATCGATAAGTCAAACTATACGATAAAAAAAAAATCAAAATTTTAATCATTAATATGAGACGATATTATTAATTGAGCCTTTGAAAAATTAAATATAAAAACTTAATTTAGTTGACGGTTTAATCGATTACTGTACATTAAATTGCGTGAAAGAAAATAAGGAGATTAAGTCTAGAGATGATTTGTGAGATGGTATACCAAATACAACCCAACAAAGTCAGAAACAAGCGTTATTTCAATCTTGTAGAAAAGAATTACCAAAAAGAAAAAGAATGGACAGATATCAAGGAGTATACGTATATGGCTTGCAACAAAAATCGGATAAATATCAGATTATTGGTTGGTTGGAAGAATGGAACAACAAAATTATAAGGCTGGCATGATTAAAGGAGGGAGCAAACAACAGCAGTAAAAAATTAAAACTGTAATGTTGAGATAGAAATAAACACGGTTACATGGGCCAAAATCAGCTGGAGGGGGGAAGGCAGAAAGAAGCATCTTCTCAAAAAGCACGAACATGAAAATGACGACTCAAAGTCATGAGCTCAAAACAACTGCACATGGAAGGGATACAGCTAGCTTATTGTGGCCCCTCTTGGAAACTCATCCTGTCAAATAGCTAAAAGGGGTACGGTGGAACATTTTCCACCACCTTGTTTTTCATCTTTATTGCTTCATAACTTGAAACATTGTAGCCTCTGGTTGATGAAAAAGATTCCGCTCACTGGGAGCAATTTTCTTTTTTACATTCATGCACATTGCCTAAAATTTGAGCATATCACGAAGTGAAGTCTTCCAACTTTAAGCTGTTTGGTTGTCCACATTAACGTATAAATTTTACAATCTTTTGGAAAGTTGAAGGCCTTTCTTTCTCATCTTTTTCCATTCCTCTCGACATGAACTTTGGCACTTGTCTTCGGATCAATCTGTTGCATGCGATGCACTGTCTCTACTGCCCAAAAATAAGGTTTTCAGCCAAACAGTCCTTGTCTGCTCTTATTGATGTGTCATAATTTCTACCATCTGCAAATATGTCTAAGATTGATACGTTTATGACTCACATTCTCCGTATGCATTTTTCCTTATCGTTTCTATTATGATCTTTACAAGATAACCGGGGGTCTGATGGGTTTCCTTTCCTCTCTTTTGTTCCGCTCAGCCAAAGGGAGTATGATGCGGTGGCCAAAAAGCTGCATAAGTTTGAAGCATAAAATATAATGAGAAACAAAGGCCATAAACTCTTCTCTGATATTTATAGCGTGCAGTTTGTATGATAAGAAATACTGGGAAATGATGCAATATCAATATTCAATAACAATTCAATGTTTCTCTAAATTAGGTTAAAAATTTATGGCATGTTTTTGTTTCCATATATTATTCTTGGTTCAGAGCAAATAAAACCAGACTCCATGTGAGGTTCTTCTTTTCTTTAAGTAGGTGGCCTGCCAAAAGTTAATCATGCTAGTCAGTTTCTTAAAGAGATTAGGAAACTAAAATTTAAGTGAAAAAAAGAGAGACCAAAGTGCATTTCTAATTTGATGACCACAAAAATCAAACAAAGGAATAAGAGCAATAAGTTATTAATCAGAAATTAGATTGATTTGGGTAATTAGTGGAGTGTCAACACGAACAAACTAATTAAGGATTTTGCTAAAAATTTGTTCAAATATTAGGTATAATAATATTTTTTGTATTAAATACGGTAGTTAGTAATTAATGTGATGAATTTCAACACATTAAAAAATATATTACTTAATACAGTAGTTTTAAAGAGTGCCTGGAAACACTTATCAACATAATCTATCAATCAAATGTTACTTATGCCACTTTAACCTAAACTAGTAATGGGAAGATATACGGTTTTCTTTTCCCTTTCTTATAAGGTCGATTTGTTTCAGACTTCCCAATCAACTATGAGATTTAGTGGGCCTTAAAATTTCAAAGATTTATTTATTTTTTCAATTATCGTTATAGAATTTTCTTTTAATTTTATGCATTATTCTACTAAGCTTGTTGGTTATTTTATGCTACAAGAGTTTTATTTTTAGGTACAATTTATTCTTTTTTTCACGATAATAAATTTAATTTTTTGTTACATTATTTGAGGTACTGTTAAAAGGTTTTTTAACAGCATTCTTTTTACCTTTTAATTATTTGGGCTTCATCATAAAAATTTTTGACAATATTTTGAATAAAATGCAGATGTAGAGATTGGCACACAAACTATGACTACACTTTATTATTATTTTTTTAAAGATGTTTTCATTAGCACTAAGTTGCCATACCATTCAAAGTCTTTAGCAGTCTTTAACTGTTTGCTAATGACTACACTTTATTAATTGTCCTTAAAGGTCAAAATTACAAGTTTTAATAGCAACATATTTTTAAATTTTTCGATTCATAAATATATGTGTTACATCAAATATATATAGAAACATATTCCAGAAATTTTCTCAGAATGAAAGACCAATTATTAATTACAAGACTGAATGGCAAAAGGGAGAATAGGAAAAAAAAAATGAAGTCAGAGGGGAATGGAGTTCTAGAAAGCATTGAAAAACGTGAGAGTTTGGACTAGCAACATGGAGGTTCAGTGCATTTTGCAAATTGCAATTGCAAACATTATTAGTTTGAAATAATTGGTTGAAGGACAATGACTTCGAGTGGGGAGAAGGATGAATCAACGCATTTATGCGCCTGTTTCGTATTGAGAGCGACAATTCAGAGTCAAATCTATACATCTGCTTCCATTTGGCAAATACAGAACAAAATGATCTTTCATTTTTGCTTCTTTCGGTATTCTAATTTTTCTTTTTCTTTCGAATACAGTCACCGGCCAAGGCCTAGCCCTTGCTCTGTCATATCAAAAAGAGTTAAGAGCAAGAAATGTCGAAGCAAATACATTGTACAGAGGAAAGGGGCGGATTCGGCGGTTTCCATTGAACCAAAGAGATTGAGAGACAAACTAAATTTGAAGTTGTAAACTTTTATCGCCCACTACTTACCTGTCAAAGCGAATTGATTATGTGATATCGTACGTCATATTATCGAATTCTTTATATAGTAATTATTACGACATATGCAAATGAAAAATTCTTATGTCCTTTTACTAATTCCTTCTCATCTTTAAGACTAGCGAAGTAAGGACATTTTCATACATCAATAGGAATTATTTGTCAAAGTGATGGTGCTATTATAAAAAAGACAGCAAAAGAAAAAACGTTATCGACTCATCTTTAAATCCATAAGGGTTCCCTATTGATGAGGATTTGTCCATATATATTGTGATTACGATCATGCATGCGTGTATGTTTTCTCTTTCTTTCTCCTGAATGTGGTCCAGTAACCCTGCATGATCATGACTTGCCAGGACAGTGCAAAAAGGAGAGAAAGAGAGTGCTAGAGACAACACCGATTTTCAAAAAATGACCCATGTAGCTCTCTAGCCTCGTGAAACATCATATTTTTTTTTATTTTTAAATGTAAAGGAATTTAATGTTACTTCTGTTAGGTTTCCATGAGTTCATTTGATTCCTTCTCAACAATGTTAGCCATATGCTTAGTTATAAGACTTGTTTGCGGTAGTTAACCAACCGGCTCACAATTTTCTTCCAAATTTTCATTCTTCTTATAATTCAATGGCTGACTGTTGAATTGAATTAGTACACAGACCGCCCCCACAAATTAATTATAAAATATAATCATGAATTGTCAAATTATAAAATTTAATCAAGAATTGTCAAGTGAATATATATATATATATATATATA